TATGTAATCTGAACAGTAAAAAAGTGTGTTCAACCATTCGCAATGTGGTTCCAGTATCTACTTTAAAGTTAAAATACCTGCTCAACAAGAGGTCTATCATATACTTCAGTTGGTACAATTGCTGCAAATATATGCAATTCAGCACTGGCCAATCTGTATATTTATGACCTTGATGGAAGTGTTAATGTCAAAAGGAATGTATTTATGGAATGGATTTGAATACTCTCTTTATTAATCATGGCAGTGCAAAGGATATTATGGACATTATGTGTGAGGTGTTGGATACAAACTATATACAGTAACCACTGCTGTTTGGGAATCTTTTAAGACTGATCACTCTGTACCAAGGACAGCATAAACAGAGACTGAATACAACAAACCACTAGTACAAACCAAAGGACTTAATAAACATTTGCCTTGATCTTGCTTTACACTATCAGGTGGGAAAGGCAATATGTTTTCAAATGTTTGATATTAATTGGATGTCTATTTGTGCCCTTAGATTGCTGTATTCAATTTACATGTACCTGTATATTGTATATAGTTCATTCCTGAACAACTAATTCTAATGTATAGACATTGTTTGTATTTGTACTGAGCAAAGGAAAACTTGTTTCACAATAAATCTTTGTAAATCAACCATTTCTTCAATTTTGGAATTATTATTATTTTAAAAATTTGTTTAACATTGTAGTGACAATGCATGTAGAGTACCCGGTACTTGATAAACAGCATTAATAGGGACGTGACAATAAATTATAAGCATATTTTACATATAAATCAAATAATTAAGATTTACCATGACAGAAATACATAGATTAGTAACCCTTAGCAAAATTTAAAAAGTGTGCAGCACATGTGCTGCAAATTTACTGCAGATGTACAGCACACTCTAGAGTGTGCAGTAGACAGCTTTGGGGAGTATGCAGAAGTGTGCAGTAAAAATCTTGCTGCACACCTACTGCACACTTCCATGAATACAAACAGTGTGCAGAGAGTATGCAAGAGACTTGGTATTTCAACAGAAGCATGAGGACAGTGTGCAGTAAAATTTGATCAGGAGTTTGCCACAAATGTACAGGAAACTTTAAAATTTTAATATAAGTTGTGTATGTTGAGTGCACAGCAAACTAAATTTCTTCAGGATTATGCTATTTTAGTGTGTAAAAAACTCATCATTTAAAAAGTGTTTAATATGCACCAATACAAGATGCATGCACTGCCACTGACAATTATACAAACAAAATACTTCAATACACATTTTACTTTTATAACCGTCAATTAGAAAGAATCAATGTTTTAATATAATTTTATTGTCATATGAGCTATATTTATGCCGCAGGCCAGATAAAAATCCATCCAGATTTTAAATCACTCTAGGCCAAATTAAAATCTATTCAGATTTGGGCATATGCGGTTTTAGCTTTTGCTTTGAAAACAAACTGCCAAATTAGTCCAACAACCTATCAATTACATTACGAAAAGCTAGTTATAAAGTTTATTTTTCTAACAAACAATGGTGTTTACCTCACTCAAAGTATGACAAAAAGTCAAGGGCAATATAAGTTTAACAACCTCTAATAGAAAAAAAGACTAATGAACCCTTTAAATTCATTCACTAAATCATCACTTATGCAAAGCCATGCCCACCACTAAAATTAAAGATTATTTTCAGGATGTATCAAAAACAGTCATGAAATCTAGGATTATGGTAAATTAAACATGACTCCTACTATCATAATCTTGGCTTTGCTAATTTGAAAATTATCGCCAAAAGATAAAAACACAGTATATAATGCATTTTTACTATTTTCATGATGATATTCACTTCATATTTCTACTAATATACTGAAAGGTTAACCGTGCCTAGTCAGATTTTTTCTAAACTTGTCAAGTTATTGCCAATAAACTAGACCAAATGCCACCATGTATAGTTTCATATAGTATAAATTCAAAAAACTACTCGGGTTTCAGAGCTAGAGGAACGTATCAAGTTTGCGACCAGAAATATAATAAAGGTGCAGTTTTAAAGCTTTTGTTCGGCTGATCGACTGGTTAATTTCATTTAAGGTTCCTTTGTTTCAGTTGTGTAAGAAGTTGGTTGTAGTAATTTGTATGTGTTACAGGGAATGTACAGAGCGGCTTTCTCGCTTGTTATGCATCTTTAAAAGAAAAAGCACTTTTTTAAAAAATAAAAATGTTAGAAATACCTGTACAAACCTTAGTCGCCACAACTCTAGTGTTAAATATTTACAGTGCTATAGCAATAGGCGACAGCATGTTTTAATTGGGATGCGTTATTCGGTTAATAATAATAACCTCATTCATTTGGGGTGAAAGTCTATGGACAAAAGATGGTTTGTTTGTACAATAACCTGATGATAACGTTTTAGATTGCGTTTAAGTGTCTTCTCTAACACAATCTCGCGACAGTGATATGATTACGTAAACCAGGTGAGCATTTTGGTGAGAGGTATTCAGATAGGACCAAGGTCAGTAGGAAGAGGAAGAAGCTTCATGTGCCACATTTCCACGATTACCACACGTAGACTGAAATTTTGGCACTGAGATCTGATGTAGTTTGTTGTAAGTGCTGTGTACATGATATAAGGCAACACTGATCGGTTTATGTTGACGATATTTTATCAGAAAGTATGCATATCCCTCTTCAGTTCAGGTATAATGGCTCTTGGATATATTTTATTGACATAAATGTCCAAATGAGTTTGAAAAGTTAAATAACTTCTTATGTTGCTTTTTCCAGAAGGAAAGCATTTGTTCATAAAGAAGTGAGAAGATTATTCCAGTCGTCCAAAGGTCTGAACTCATTCCGTCTTAAACGAAGCAAGACGACAAAGCAGGTAACTACCGGTACTTTCTCAGCTCCCAATGGGTGCCTTTTTCATCTTATAACAGCGGCTTGTACAAATATATACTGTTTATTAACAATAATCCGGTGGTTTTCTACAGAACTAGCCGCGACCAGGAAAGCGAACGTATATTTATTTGCTGAGCACTGTCAACCTCCGTTGACTTCAATTTTCATGATTTCAGTTTCATACCATCCTTTATATTACAATCTGGAATAAAATGCTCGAACAAAGTATCTGGTTTTAAAAGAAATTGAGCTAAAATACTAGCGTTCGGATTACGAAATTATTTAAGTGGGTTAATCGGAATAAAGTAATTGGTAAAATCATTCTTTTTCTGTCTATAAAAGTGAAGTGGTTTTAATAATCACATGTAGCAATAAAATGCTGAATTTATGTCAGACTACTCACAAAATAAGCAATATAATGTATAAATAAAGCAAGAGAAAAACCAAACACTTTCTGCATCCTTGTGCTCTGTAAACCACATGTTAATTGTCATTGACCAGTGTTTTATGTTATCCTACAGAACCGAGGCAATTTAATATTGCTACATTGTAGCCCCGGTCCCCGCATTTACAAAATCCTGAATTATCATGATCAAAACTAGGCTTTCTGTCAAATGTTTACATTTATCTACTTTTAATTCCGCAAATATATAAAGTTTTTACGGCCGGTTTTGTTTTTATGGTAAAATTATCTATGTGGGCAAATATTATATGCAGTCTCCATCAAAATACTCCTCGTGGAGGGATATGGCTTAGCAAAGATAGAAAAAATAAAGATTAGTATGTTGACGTGTAACAGTGTGTACAGGGCAAGTAATAGTAACGTCGTTATAAAGTATACTATTGTATAGAACGTGTAGATTCAATTTACCTAGTATATAGCTATTCTTATGATATGATTTCTGTGTCCTTAATGCATACTGAAATGGATCGGTGTAAAAATTATATTTCACTTTAAAAATTATTAGCTATAGTTTCTTGCATGTGGATTTCGTATAATTTATTTCATTTTTCATTTACTTTCAGTGTCATGTAACAACCGTCTTACGATGAAATTGGACGCACTCCCAGCAAAGACATCAGATTCGTGTTCGCCAGCGCCCGCACCCATGTCAACGTTGTCTTGCGTTTGTTGTATAGTCAACTTGCAGGGTTGACATTTGATTTAGTTTGAAATGTCATGATTGCTTTGGGTTGTAATATTCTGCATCAGACCGTGTATGAAATGAAGTGCAGCGTGTAACGAGTGGTTTATTCATGAAACTTCTAATAAAATGGACTAAATCCAAGCGTCAACCTTGCACGTCGCTGGTATATTATTATACATATGTAAATAAGCTGTAATACAGCACTCTATCCGCACACATACCAACCAGTTTTCGAATCTGAAACGACACTTTTGAAGTTATCCTAAAACAAAACAAAAAAAATCCCTTGCTTAATCGATCTATGAAAACAAAATTAATTGCAAATTTATCATTAAGTGATGTGCAGGTAGAGCACTGTGCTAGTGCGACCGATTTAATGTTTTATTGTAAAATTATTTGTGTGGGCAAATATGTAATAAGACGCTTTGTTATGCAATCGAAAATGCATGTTTATTCATATTAAATTGGATACAAATATTGATTTTAATGAAGCTAACTTTAGAAAAAAATAAGTCACAACTCCATTACGTAAAATGCCTACAAGAGTTTTATTGTGGGTTCTTTGGAAAAATGAACGAGATGTAAATCTACAATAAACTGTCAACAATGCAATCCAAATATGACACTTATGAAATTGTAAAATGTGCTCAAGTTATTGCAGAATTGCCCACGTATTGAAACGGGTCTTTTTGAAATTGTGAAAATGCGGTTATGACGCATGGTAAGAATAAACTTCCTTTGGTTCCCGGTGTTTTGATGTACTAGTAGTGTGTCTGATCAGTGATAGACCCATAGTTATATTGCTGGGAGGGGGAAAAATCTGTATTTTCAGAAAATCAAACCAGGCGTTGGGTTAGTTTTTTTTTTTTTTTTTTTTTTTTTTTTTTTTTTTTTTTTTTTTAATTAATAAGTTTTTGTTATTGAAGAAGGAAAATTAACTTTTTACCTTCATTACAAGGCGGATATACTCACAAAGAGAAACAGTGAATAGTAGAAATTGTTTCCTTTTACTTCAAATAAAATGTATATGTAGGACTGGCTTTTATCGCATCTTTTACAACTTGACATGTTAAGAAATCCTTATCAAATTCGTATCAAAAACTACAGTTGTCGAAAAGATCTGTTTTGGGGTAATGGGTATTTCCTAGTAATTAAACGAACTTTTGTAGACTGTCAACTTTTGTCAATCCTCTAAAAACACGAAATTGGTCAGTTAATCGCCAATTTACTGACTTATCGTCTAAAAATCATTTTTCNAGAGAGAGAGAGAGAGAGACGTTTTTTTTACATTAAACTTGAACTGTAAATGCGCATAAAGCTTAAATTTTTCCTGTGAAAAATGTAATTTTATGTCGACGATATATTTTTAAGGCTCTATTTGCCTTTCATATCGTAATTTTACTGGTTATAACAAGATAACAAAGATGAAGATGAATGTTCAGTGACTCAATAATATACATAAAAATCACGAATTATTCGATTTCACGAAAGAGAGATCTGGAGCACAGAGAGAAAGCCGTCTCCAAGACATACCCCCACCCACTCCATAATACCGTGTTTTCAGAATCATAAACAGACTATGCCTCATTTCGAGAGTTCAGAACTAACGGTCAAAATCTGGTATTTGAATTTAATTCCTTTCATGCAGAAAACCCAATTATAAACATTGGTTTGAATGAATAGTAATAAAAAGTACTGAGTGAAACTATTTCTGGCAATCAAGTTAACATTCGTACCTGCTACGCCAGTCTTTGAATCAAAATGGATGTAAATAGTTTATACGTTTTTAATTATGGTCATTTAATTTGCATCAGCACTTGAAATACACGTAAGCTTACACAAAAGGAGATCTAATGACAGAAGTCCAGTAACAGAAACACCCTTCCTCGTCTTAATACATGTATGTACACATTAGTGTGTACATAATGTGTACATACATGAAGCAGAAGATACAGGCATGTTAATAACAATTAATACCTTGCGACATTAAATAGAAGTGTAGATTGCCACTTTAAATGAAATTGGTGTCGGTAACTCATTTAAAATACAGAACATTCCAGTATAACTTTAACTTGCACAAAAGTTTGAAAGCATCACGGAAGGATTATTGGGGAGGGGGGGGGGTGCGGCAGGGCCATCCAGGCAAATTTACGTCTTAGAAGCACGCGAGCTTCAATGGAATAATGCTCGCCTGCAACGCGGGCAGTCCGTGTTTGATTCCTAACAGATGCAAAATCTGTTAAACTGACAACTATTTTGAAAAAATGATGTGTATTAATCCTGTCTTTAGAAACGTATTCTTTGCACAAGGGAGTTTCCTGGGTAGACTACTTTATGGTACGGCAGCTATGGATATGTTTGTAAATATATTACTGGGTGGCAGGCTTTGTCAGTGATACGCTTTTATAACTGTTCTCTAATAAATACAAGAAACTTTTGTTGTTTGTTTTAAAAACTGCTTGTAAAAAAGAAGAACCAGAAACAGACCTCTTTTAGATTGTTTTACTTCGACCAAGTGTAGTATTGTTGTTCTCAAAAATTGCACATAGTTGGTGCCAAAATAAATCCTAGTTAGCATGTGGCCCATCCTTAATGCATGGCTCAATTTTTGGGGCCCACCCCTAGTCTTTTAGTAGACCAAATGAATGTAACCCATCCCTACTGTTTCCG